AAGGGATCATCTGTCCTGGATACCCTGTGTTTCCAGTTCCTATCTGTACCAATGTACATCCTCTGATCCAGCCGGATTTGTAAGGTAGAACTGGGATCGTGATAGTGGGGGAGGGGGGGAAGCATTTAGGAACTAGAGGAAAGTTGTATGTTTCATCGTAGCTACTTTGCACCCTGAGTGTCTTGTCTCCTCCCCATGACCCTTCCATAAGTGGATGTCCAGTTGCCTACAGATGGACTTTGGGTCCCCACTCCACAACCCCCTCATTTACAATGATATGATTTTTTTGTTCTTTGATGCCTGATCCTTTTGACGTTCTTTGATGCCTGATCCTTTTGACACCTCGTGATCACACAGGCTGGTGTGCTTCTCCCATGTGGGCTTTGTTGCTTCGGAGCTAGATGGCTACTTGTATATCCCCTTAGGGTTTTTAAGTCTATCTCTTACAGAGGGGCCTGTGGGTTCGAATCCCTGATCTTTCAGCCAAACCCAAGCACTTAACCCCTTGTGCTACCTGGACTCCTTATTTATGGATTTAGTTTTTATATATGTTGGTTTAATTTAAACCAAACAAGTTTCTTAAGCTTTGATTTGTATCTCAGGTGGTGTCCTCTATTTTTCATGCATTCTGGTAAGAAAGCTGAAGTATCACCATCAGATACTCTGTCCTCCACTTAAGTTTTTCCAGTGGCAACATTTCCACTGGAGGGTTGTTTTGCAGTATAGATCAAATGTGAAACTATGGAAATATTGCATTGAAGTATAAAAATGACCTCTCTGTCATAGCCAAAGCTGAAGACTTATGAAATTATTTTGGGTGTTACACAAAGTTTTACAAGTAAATGTAGTGGTATACCAGACCATAAAAAAATGACCACTTCAGGTTTAGACTTTGCGCTGGGATAATATCTGTAAAGTTTGTTTAAGTGGCTTCAGTGAGCTACTTAATTTCTCAGAGAATTATTTTTCTCACCTAAAACGGGTTAAGAATAATTAAATGAGAATTCTTCACAATTACTTCTTAAATTTAGTTTGGTATTACTAATTGTACAGGTTATTAGACTTTTTAAAAAAAGACTCATCTTTGAGTGAAGAAGACTTGTCTGGGGAGAAGGCAGCTTGATTCACTGTTTCCAGGAAAGCTCCGACTAGTGTTGCTTTTTCTCAGTCATGCTTTTAGCTCGTGACTGGCAAAACTTAGAACTTCTGAAGGAGGTTAAACTTTAAACCTAAGTTTATGAACCGTCTCCGTGATACAAGGTGGAAGCTCAGAGGACATGTAAATCTTGTTGATAAAGAGAGTTTTAAGAACTTGAAGGGTTTTATTGATGTATTTTATTCAAAATAATTGTCTATAAGTCTCAGCAGCATCTCTCTCACCACTGCCACCCCAACTCCCAGTTGTCTGAGGAAAGGTCTTGAAAGGCCTGCTTTGTGGTTTTGTTTGCTTTTAACTGGACTCCAGGGGTGGGGTGGGGGGGATATGTTTGTAATGTAACTCACTGTTCATTCCAGATAACATTTCTAGGAAGTCACTAGAAAACATTGTTTTCTTTTAAATGAGAACAACAAAGTTTATACCAGGTTGGGATTATTTTTTCAATAGTCCTCAATTATTTTAAACAATGACAAGGATTTAAGGGGGGGACGGGACAAAAAATGTGTAACAAATGAGGGATTTTCTAGGAATATTAGCGGAATGTTAATCCTTTGAGATTATCCATTGAAGTAGTTTTAACTTTTTTTATGCTGTGACTAAGCTGTGTCTTTCATCTAAGGTATTTTGTCAACGTCAATTTGCAGGCGTCTGTTGAAACACACACACATGCTTGATGTACAGGTAGTGTAAAGAGAGCGCCAGGGGGCTCCTTACTGCTTACTCCGGTATATACTCTGTCCCGGCACTTCATCCTTTGCCTGTCTTAAAGGAATCCTGTTTTAAGGCTGAAGCCCCTGAGTAGACTGATTGCCTATTATATCAAATAATTTCCTCATTCTTGGGAATCTATGTTTGTGCCAAGAATTTCAGTCCAAGCCCATTACAAGACCTCAAGAGAAATCAAGCGAATTTAGTGAAATAAATTAGCTCCAAAGAAACGATTCCACTTAGATGAATTATCTAGGATAAGCAGACTTTATTAATGTTTTCACGTATTTAAAGCCATTCTAATGTAAATTTACTTAATTCTGAAGTTGTCTGTTAAGAGTTATTCTTCTCTCTCAGTGTTTGTTGTTTTGCTCAATAACCATCAGACTGGAACTAAGTGTGTGAGAAAACAGAATGGAGGCTAGGTCTGGCCTCTGCTTGCACAAGGAAGGAGGGAGAGTCCATCTCCACACCAGCCGAGGCGGATTGCCACAAGGCAGAGGTCAGACTTGCTTCCACTCTTATTTGTCCCTGTTCTGAAATTCATTGCAGGGGCCATTCAGAACTCACAGACAACACTCAAAATTATGAGTGTTTATTAGGGAAGTTAACTTCCGGCTGTTGAGTCAAATGTCAACTCATAGCAACCCTATAGGACAGGGTAGAACCACCGCATTTCCCGGACTATAACTCGTTATGAGCGTAGAAAGCCCATCTTTCTCCCACAGACCAGCTGGTGGTTTTGAACTGCTGACCTAGCAGTTAGCAGCCCAAACACGTAACCTCTATGCCACTAGGGAAGTTATTATAAATCAGGATCATAAAACATTAAGGATACATTAAGTCTTTGGTCCACAGCAGCGCCTCTCCTCAACCAGTGGCCAAACATTTCTCTCATCCTCAGCTCTCAGCCATGTGGTCCCATGGCCTCTGACTTCACGGCCAGGAAGCAACCCCCCTACTCTGCCTAAGGGTCTCACAGTCTCAGCTCTGCTTCTTGGTTTCCTTTCCTCCCCCTCTGGCCTCAGTGTGACACAGCCTCGGATGCTTCAGCCACTGCAGACAGGGAGGGATCTAGAACCTGCTCCACTAGTAGTTCTTCCTTGATTGTCTCAGCTGCTTCATTCCTATAGCCTAGGTGTAATGTCCAAACTGACCAGTCCCTGGGATACAGAGCTCTCCACCGTGTTTGCATGGACCCTCCCAATTATTTGGTGGGAGAAGAAAAATGGAGAGAGGAGCCATATTAAGAAATGTCACTTCAGTGTGGTAAGGTTGACTACGTTTTTTAGGTAATGAGGAGTTTGGGTAAAACCTTATAGACTACAAGAAGCCCTGATGGCACAATGGTTAAGTGCTCAGCTGATAACTGAAAGGTCAGCAGTTCAAACCCACCAGCCACTCTGAGGGAGAAAGAGTGGCATCTTGGGAACCCAGTGAGGTTCTTTTATGCCCCACATAGTTAAGAGTCAAAACTAACCCAACAGCAGTGGGTTTAGTTACAGAGTAGACCGAGTTCTTCCAGGGTGTGATGTGCAGTGGGAAATAGCAGGAGCTGAGCTGACTGTTGCATTTGACATTTTAGAAAAGGGGTGTGCATCTCATTAACTTGACCTCTGGGCTTTCATGACATTACTCGTTCTCTCCTTTACAAAGTTCTTTTCTCAACTTTATGACACTTTTATCATGGCTTTTAACATACAGACTAGTTTGTGAATTATGTGTTGGGCTATTAACTACAAGGTCAGCAGTTTGAAACCACGCCGTGCCATGGGAAAAAGTTGAGGCCTTCTACTCCCATAAAGAGTGACAGGTTCAGAAATCCACAGGGGCAGTTCTACTCTGCAGTATAGGAGTTGCTTTGAGTCAGGATTTACTGATTGGCGGTGCGTATTTTAAGTTTTGTTGTTATGTGCCATTAACTTGATTTCCTACTTGTAGCAGCATGCTGGACGGTAAAACTGCCCCGAACTGTAATCTCTAAGGAAACAAACAGAACGCCACTCTTTCTCCCAAGGAAGTGTGCTTTACACATTTACCTATGGACTCTACAAGGGGGGTTTAAAAAGTTTGTGGAAAAATGAAACCAAGTTATTATACAATTTTTCCATGAACTTTTCAAGGTGGTGTAGTGATTATGAGGTGGGCTGCTAGCTGGCTGAAACCCCAGCTAGTCCTCAAGAGAACGACAAGGCTTTCCACTCCCATAAAGAGTGGCAGTCTTGGAAGCCCGTAGGGGCAGTTCTACTCTGTCCTATAGGGTCACCATGACTCACAGTCGACCCAATGGCAGTGAGTTTTATATTTTGTCAAATTTCCTTTGTGAGTTTTGTCACTTCTGCTTATAAGGTTTCCATCTTCCTCTTCCTCAACAACTTCGCTAATTCCCATCACAAGATTCAGCCCTAAAACCCACTTCCTGTACAGCTTTTCATTTTCTCCCTGATGAAGTAAGTGCAGCTACTCTTTTTCTGTGCTCACAGCTCAGCTCATCACAGTGTCGCTCCCATCACCACCCTTCCCTGCTGTGGGGTTTGTAGCTCAAGAGGAAACAGTGGAACTGCTCCATTCACTTAGCGAGGCTGATCCTTCGGAGCAGACAGCCTCATCTCTCTCCAGAGAAGCGGCTGGTGGTTTGCATGGTGGTTAGCCACCCAGTCCCTCACTCACCGTGCCAGAGTAGGGGTTCTGGTCATTTTTGGTAGATTATGAGAAGTTGTACGGCACAGGCATATTTTATAAGTACATTGGAACCTTTGAGTGTTGTTATTGTGCTAACGTAGGATTTCGTTTTTTGGTAGTTATAGGCAGACCTTGTTTTATTTTACATTGCAGATAATACTCTTTGTTCCCCTCTGCATTCAGCAAGTTTGCGTGTTCAACAGCATGTGCTCACTTCATGTCTCGTGCCACATTGTGGTAATTCTTAACTCCCTATCAAGCTTTTCCATCCTGCTGTGGCGTACTTAACACAAACTACAGTATGATGTGAGCATGACTTTGATGTCCTGGGGAGAGAGAAGAATTTGTGCAGCTAACCTGCAACGCCGCTGAAGAGTGCCTGTACCAGAGGTTACGTAGGATGTTGCGCTATTTGACTACTGCTGACTGACTCTTCTCTGTTTCTTTGCAGCGTACAAGACAGTGTCAGGAGTCAATGGCCCACTGGTGATCTTAGATCAAGTTAAGGTAATTCTACTCTCTATTATAATTTAACCATTTATGAAGTTAAAAAACAGTTTAAATGTGTGTTGTGGTTTTAAGCCATTCCTTGGTCTGATTATCAGTACTAAAATGGAGAGGAGAATTTTAGGCCCAAAGTCAATAAACCAAATTCCACTTTGGATTTTGTTACAGCCTTGAATCCTTTACTGAAAAAGAAGAAGAAGGAGGCAAATAACCTTATCTTTCCTACCTCATGAGAAAAATAGGATTATTTGTGAATATGCTTCATAAAAGACCGCTGTTTTTAACACTTACTTGTACACTTGCCCTCTCTACGACATATTAAGCTCTGTATCTACATACAGAGTGCTAGTTTATCTTTGTGGGCTTGGCAAAACCCTAAAACACCAAATAGTGTTTGCCTGTTCAGTTCATTGGAAGAATCTTTCTTTTTTTTTTTTTTTTTTATGCTTTCCAAGGTGGAGAAGCATCTTTAGTTCAATTTTGGTTTTGTATTTTTTTCAGCCACACATACGTATAAGAATTGTGAACGGTTATGGTTATCTTTAAAAAAGAAAGAAAATGGCAGGGTAGGGTATAGCCTCTAATAGATATCTTCTGCCTGCATTTGATGATCAGAATAACTTCAGAAAAGATGGTTTGTATGTTTTCTAGTGTAGCTTGTTATTTCTATGGACTAAGGGATGGGGCGCACAGTTACTAGTTAATTGAAAGAATCTAATAAGAATATGCTAGCATTTGGCCCCTCTGAAAGAATATTTGAGAAACATTCTTAGAAAATGTGTTGTCTCTCCAGCTTTATTACTGAGAGATTATTTTGTGGGTGCCAACGTACAGGTACAAATTGATGTAAGGTTAACATGGTGAGTTGGCTTCTTGGCCAGTTTCCCTCTAGTCTGCACATTGATCCAAAGCCATTGTACAAGACATGGGCAGGCTCCCCTTACTATTTGGGGAAAGAATAGTACCTACGTGTTATTTTATTGCAGAGCATATTAGGAAGCTCCGTTTATTTTTTTCACTGCTCTGTATTAAATAAATATTATAGTTCATATTTTAATGTTTTATATTTTAATTTCAAGTATTTTAACTATTAAGCTCAGCATAGAAAATACATTGGTCAACATTAGAAATGGCTGCTGTCCCAATGGAGCCATAAGCAGCTGACTAGATAATTAAACATTCTGCTGCGTACTGTGACGTGGGGGAAGCTCGGGACTCTGTACGAGACAGCATCAGGAAGAGGTTAGAAAACACCCCAGAGGAAGGAGCTTTAGTTTCTTTTTCCTCCTCTGTAGATTACCACTGGGTGAGGAAAGCCCATTAAACATACCACCCTGCTTACAGTGTTGTTTCGCTTCTTTCGACCAACTCCGCTAATATCTTATAGCCTCAATTTTACCCTGAGGTTTAGCTTTGAATTTTCTCATTTCTTTTCTCAGATGCCTGACAGGTTTTATTTTTACTTTGGGATTTTAACTTAAAGCATACACACAGAACCAAGTAACAGATAATTGAACACAAATTGTATAAGAGAAAGAAAATGGAGATCTGCTACACAGCTAATTGCAGAAGTTAATTAGAAGGTAATGCTATTAACATGGGTTCCAAATTAGACAGTGGGAAGTACCAGAAAAGAGTGAGGTAGCCATTCTCATTTAAAACACAGTTACCCAAAATCCATGATAAAATTACTCATGTATTGCATCAATAAAAATTAACATGTAAATAAAAATTATGGCAGTAGGCTTACCCCAGCAACACAAAGATGATTTGACATTAGAAGATCTATCAATATAAATTATCACTTTTATTAGATTCATCTAGAAAAAAATTATGCTCTTCTCAGTAAATAAAGAAAAAGCATTTGATGAAATTATACCCATTTCTTAAAAAAATAAATAGATAAAGCCCTCTTAGAAAATGCAGACTGAGAACAGACTGTTATTTAACTTCTTAGGATACTTATCTACAATGTTCTGCACACACACAGCATTCGTAGGAGAGATGGAAGGCTCTGAAATCATTCTCAGTTGAATCTGGAGGGTGTCTGTGGTCATTACCACTGCTTACCTTTGTGCTGGGAGCCTAACCAGTGCTGCGAGGAAAGAAATTCAGCTCCGACACAATGTTGCCCACCGTTTCTTGTGGGGCATTTCACTGGTGAACTGTTGGTAAAAGTCCCACTTTCCATTTGGAAGATCTAGTTTGATTCCTACTCAGCACACCCCATACCTGCCACTACCTGCCAATCAGCTGAGGCTCACATGATTCTGTGATGCTGTAAGGATTCCAGCAGTTTCCAGACCAAGGTGGACTAGGAAGATAGACTTGGCAATCTGCTTTTGAAAAGAACAGAGTAGGTCACAGTGGTCTGTGTGATCTGCAACAAATCATGGGGTCAGATGGAGACCAGGCAGCCTGTCCTTTATGGCATGCCACGTGTGAGAAGTGAACTTTTGAAAAGGCAGCTTTGTTTTTATCATTTCTTGACATGATTAACTAAACGTTCTATAGGAACTGTTAGAAACAATAGTGTAGGACAGTTGCTGGACATAGGATTAGTCTGCAGAAATCAGTAGACATCTGCATGCCAGCAGTAATTGATTGGAGCAATCGGTAACTAATTACAGAAAACTTTGCAGCTTTGTTGCCTCTGACTCATGAAGATCCTCTGTGTGTCGGTGTAGATCTGTTTTCAGTGGCTGAACTTTGGTCTGGAAATCACCAGTTCTTTCTTACCAGGTACCTCTGAGGGGCCTGTGGTAGTTACATAATCTGTTGTCAACTTGAGACTTAAGAGTGAAGGGGTGGAGTTTAGCCTGTCAAGCAGATCACGGCTTGAAGACCTTATTTTTGAGGTGCCGCAGAGATAAATAGCTCACTGGAGGCCAGACACAGACACTCCCTGTGAGGCATTCCTGTGTACAAGACACGTGGAGCTACGCTAGAGCCCTGGAGTTGGAGAAATCACGGGGAGACCCATGCTAGAGCTGAGATGCTTCTACTGTCACTGGATCCACAAGACTTTCCACCCACTGGCCTGTGATTCTTCTTGCGTTTGGCGTCATTGCATGTGTTGCGTGAGTCTGAAGAGGAATTTATTGGTTGGTATTGGACATAGGGGCTAATATCGAACTTAAGGACGTCATCTGGACTGGGATGGGATGTTTTCTCAATATACAATTACTCTTTATATAAGGCTCTTTCTTGTACACACATATGAGTGTCTGAATTTGTTTCTCTAGTCCACCTGGACTAACACAGGGCACAAACTTCCAACATATCAGTTTAGCTGGAAGAGTATGTTCATTGTACCACTCAGGGTTTTCAAAGATATAAACGACAACTTAAATGAAAGCCCATACATATCCATGAATGGAAGACTCAAAATAATAAAGGTATTGATTCTTCCCAAATTAATCTTTAAATGATTTCCAATCATCGTCTCAAAAGTATAAATGTGTATGTGCTGATGACACTGACACACTGATTTTAAAATTCATATGGAAGAGAAAAAGAGTTCAGTGTTTATAATGACAACCTCGAAAAGGGATGAGAAAAGAGAGTTCCCCAACAGATAACAGAGAGAACAATGGATAATAAGGATTTGATATAGGAATAAGTGAATATCGGTAGAATAAAATTAAAAGTCCTGAAACCAGCTTGGAAAATGTCTGGGAACTTGATAAATGACAAAGGCACATCAAGTCAATGGGGGGATTGGATTTTCAGTAATATTGTTGGAGTAGTTTGTTTCCCATATGAAAGAAAATGGGGGGGGAAATCAGATGACAGAAAGTAATCCACCTGGGTTAAGGACTCAAACAAAAAATGAAGTTAGGAACTTTTCCTAATTAAGACAAAAGGTATAAATCACATAGCACAGATTTTATTGTATAAAAAATGTTAAGACTTCTGTATGATAAAATGAACAGAAATAGTATTAGAAAACAGAGACAAAATATTTGCAAAGGAATTTGTATCCAGAATATACAGACTTCTATCAGAAAGAAAAAGCAAGATCTGTAACAAAGTGAGGAAAGAATAATGTATTAGACTGGGTTGTCTAGAGAAACAAAACCAGTGATACTCAAATATACGTTAGAAAGAATGTTATATAGCCAGAAGACAACCGAACCCAGTCCACCTCAAGTCCATGGGTCTGATGCTAGCCAGGGTCTCTTCAGACTGGCATGATGGACGGCAGACACCAAGGGTGAAGTGGGAAGAGGGAGACCACAGGCTGGTGGGGACAGTCTTGGGAATCCAAGTTCGGTGGAAACATGACAGGGCACAGACAGCTCTCCAGCTTGGCACCCCACATGGAACTGACCCTGGAGGAGGAAGGCACAGGTTCAAAGCATAAGGTCAAAAAAAGTTACAAAATGAGTTATGTGGTGTGTTGCCATTTATATAAGTAAAACACTACAATGTATTTTGGGGGTAGCCTATACCATTAAAAAAAAAGATGGATTACAAGAATATCTGGCTAGGAGAATTAGAGTTGGAGTGATTCATGGTGACTCTCAAACCAATTCAAATTCGTGGCCTTTAAAGTCAATTCTGGTGGAGACACTAGCATTATATTATTATGTTACTAATTTATAATTTAGTAACATTTTGGCTTTTTGCTGCCCCCCAGAAAGCTAACATGTGGTCACACACACACAGCCCAGAAGCAAACAATCGGTTCTGAGTGATGTGTATTTTTTTACCTTCCATTGTTGTTGCTTAGGTCAGCTATCCTTGTACAACAGAACACAACACGCCCGGTCCTCTGCCATTCACAGGCACTGTATTCTAGCCCGTCGTGGGGCTGTGCCAATCCATCTCCTTGAGGGTCTTCCTCTTTTTAGCAGACCTTCTACTTTAGCAGCCTTATGCCCTTTTCCAAGGACTGGTCTGATAGAAGGAACAAAGTGTGTGAGACGAAATGTCGCCGTCCCCGCCTCTAAGAAGCCCTCTGACCAGACTTCTTCCAAGACAGCCCTGTATTCTTTGGGCAGTTCCTGGTCCTGTCAGTACTCGTCTGCAGCCCCATTCATTGTCCAGCTCACACACATAGGAGGCAATTGAAAAATCCTTCTATAGTCTCTTTAGAGCAGTGGTTCTCAACCTGTGGGTCGCGACCCCTTTGGGGACGTCGAGTGACTGACTGGTTCTCCTGATCGGGTCTCCTGATTCATAACAGTAGCAAAATTACAGTGATGAAGTAGCAATGAAAATAATTTTATGGTTGGGGGGGTAGTTCACCACAACATGAGGAACTGTATTAAAGTATCATGGCATTAGGAAGGTTGAGAACCAATGCTTTAGAGTGTTAAATAGCAAAGAGGCCACATGAAAGCTAGACAATGAGTTAGGAGAACCAAAAAGAACTAAAGCCTGTGAATTATGGTGTGTGTGAAGAATATTGAAACTACTGTGGATTGCCAGAAGAACAAAAAAAACTGTCATGAAGGAAGTACAGCCAGAATGCTCCTTACAAGCAAGGATGGTGAGGTGTCATCTCACGGACTTTGAAAACATTATCAATAGAAAGACTGGTTCCTAGGGAAAAACATGTTTGTTCAAATAAAGAGTCAGTGAAAAAGGAAAACCCTCCACAAGGTGGACTGACACGGCGGCTGCAACCATGGGCTCAAACATAGCAGTGATACACGAGGATGCCACAGGACCGGCCCTGTTTGCTTCTGCTGTGCACAAGGCCCTAGAAGTCAGAGCCAACTCCGTGTCACCCAGGAACATGATCACAGAACTTTATAACATGTAACACAGGGGAAAGAAAGATAGTTCATTGCCGTGTTTTCGTGGATTTTAGACCCCTTCCTTTGTATGTAATGCTACGTCCGTAGTGTTTTTTGAAGGACTTCAATGCCTGTCATTGCAAATTCTTGGAATTTACCTGTGTGGGGATGTGTGTGTGTGTGTGTGTGTGTGTGTGTGTGTGTGTGTGTTCATACAGGTTATGGAGATACTGCATAGAGAGTACTTTGGAGGTGGGGGCTTTTAAAATACTGGTTTGTGATCCTTTATTTCTTCTTATGTAGTTTCCCAGATATGCTGAGATTGTCCATTTGACATTACCAGATGGCACAAAGAGAAGTGGGCAGGTGCTAGAAGTCAGTGGTTCTAAAGCAGTGGTTCAGGTAAGCATAACATTCAGAACTTAGTCACTTGAACTTTTTCCTTGTCTCAGAAATTTAGGGAACCTTATTTATGCTAGTACTCATTGAATGAAATGAAATCTTTAGACATGGAGTACTGGCTGTTTCCTTTCAAAAGTCAGCTTCTATATTCATTTTTAGCCAATAGTCTAAAACCTCCTCCCCTAAAGTCACGGCGGAGGAGATACTGGCTCCTTCCTGCACAAGGAGTGAGGAAGAACCTGTCACTGTTCCAAAAGCAGACTGGGTTGATTCGAGAAATTCTAAGTTTATTCCTGCAAAGCGATGACAGAAGGAAACAGTGAAGTTTCTGTCTCTGAGCTGTTTTCGTGTTCAATTCCAATCCAGCAAGTTATATATTTTAAACTATGTTACAAGAAATAGGCTTTGAAATAGTGATTAACAGGTATTTACAATTAGAGGACCCAAGGGGATAAAGCGTCACAGGAAGGTTTACATGTACCTAGGGATTATCAGACCATCCAGCGAAGGCCATTCTTCTCTCCGTGGGCTGTCTAACTAGTATCCCCTAAAGTTTCAGGCTTCTTTTCTTATCTAAATGGCTCTGCCTCCACTTTGCTGCAACCCCGAGTAATTAACAGGTTAAAAGGGATTTTTACTGTTGAGGGAGGGTGCTGTTATATCCTGAGTCCCTTATATCAAACTAAATCTCGGCAGACCAGATCCCAAACTATGTTACATTTCCAGTGTTTGGTTAATAGCAAGCTAACTCTTTCAGCCTCGCTATCAAAGATAGATTATGATAAACCAAAACAATATCTGAGCGAGAAACAAACAAGGAAATTGTTCCTTAAAAGTTGTAGTTCTTAACACTACCTGATAATGGAAAATGTCAGTTTTCCTCCAATGTCTGGCTCGCTAATTTAGAACAGGATTGGAAACCTCCTATACAACACCAGATGGTAAATGCTTTAGGTCTTCATGGAGCCAGGCAGTAAATCCTTGGAAGTCTGTGTTGCATCTGGTTGGTTTGTTTTTTTCAAACAGCCATTTACAATGTAAAATCATTAGTCTATCTGAGATTTGGCCGACAGGCATAGTTTGCCAGCCCTGGTTCTAAAGATGCTCAACTGGGTTCATCACCAGGAACATTCCTTTGTTCCTTGTATCAATAAAACATACAAATGGGCTTCCAAAAGTTCATGGAAAAATGAAATTGAAAGATACTGGGCTTTTTCCATGAACTTTTTGAAGCCCCTTGTAGTGTCCATTTATGGACTTTACTTTGTAGGAACTGTTTAATAGATAAAGTGTTAAAGGACCCATGTACACATTTCTGATTGCTTCTTTGTCTTGACATAGGTGTTTGAAGGTACCTCAGGTATAGATGCCAAGAAAACGTCCTGTGAATTTACTGGAGATATTCTCCGAACACCAGTGTCTGAGGATATGCTTGGTAAATGGATATAATCATTCTTTGGAGCAGCAGTCTTGTTTTCTTGTAAACCCATGTCCACTGAGTCTAGAAAAGTAATGCATGTTTGAAAGCCAGTGTCCACTCAGCTCTGTCCTTTTACTGTCTTGCAGGCCGGGTATTCAACGGATCCGGAAAGCCCATTGACAGAGGCCCGGTTGTGCTGGCTGAAGACTTCCTTGACATCATGGGTAGGGGCAGGAAATGGATTTCTGATTTGGAGAACACAGCCTGTGAGGGTGCTTAAAAATGTTGGTGGAATGAAAAGATAATCCAATGATTCCACAGACTTTTTGAAACCCAGTTGTATTTCACCTTTACCAGAGAGAGAGAGAGAGAGAGAGAGAGAGTGTGTGTGTGTGTGTGTGTGTGTGTGTGTGTGTGTGAGAGAGACTGTTCTAAATAAATAAACGAATGTTTTAACAATTTCTAGGATTGTCTCCATATTAAACTTATTTTTATTAGAGGCTATTTTTACAACTAGAAAGATTTATCTCATATCTGTCTGTACATGTAATATCTTGAAACATTGTGAAATATTACTGTGGACTATCTGCAATGTTAGTAGTAAAAGCATGGCTTTGAAATAAAGATTCCTCTCATCAAGGAGCTCTGGTGGTGCAGTGGGCTAAGCGGTGCCCTGGTCACTGAGAGGCAGTGTTCCAGTCCGCAAGCTGCTCCTTGGGGGGAAGATGAGGCAGTCTGCTTCTCGAAAGGGTTTCAGCCTCAGAAACCCTAACTGACAGTGCCCCGCTGCACGCTGGGATTGCTACGAGTCAAAATGGACCCAACAGCAGTGGGCATTTAGCTTGAGGAATCTGTTGTGCTACCATCTATTTTGTGAAGCTGCAGAAGACTCAGGGGAAATAATTAAACAGTTTCAGGTTTCAACAATAACTGATTTTTTTTTTAGAGGAAAGAAGAGAGAGCAATGCTTTGTAGACTTCCGGTTTTATGCTCCTTTATAGTTTATAGGCTTTATTTGGTTGTTTTTTATTCATTTGCTTTCTGCCTCTATTTCTAAATAATTTGCAGATAATAATAACTTTTCCTCTTTGGGAACTAGGTCAGCCAATCAACCCTCAGTGTCGGATCTACCCTGAGGAGATGATTCAGACTGGGATTTCAGCCATTGATGGCATGAACAGCATTGCCAGGGGACAGAAAATTCCCATCTTTTCTGCTGCTGGCTTACCACACAATGAGGTGAGAAGTAGGATGTAGTTAGTGTGACATGTAACAGGGAAGTATTTCTAAATGCTTTATTTTATTGAGAACGTCAGTAAAAGGCTTTCATAATCAATACCTAATGTAACTGTGTATTGAATCATTATCTGTGCTTGATATCCCACCTTCTTGCCTGTTTCTTTTTGTGAACTGTAACAAATTTTAGTTGGTGAAAGACCTCTAAATCATCCCAGTTTTATTTATAATTTCAAACTGTTGAGTAAAAGTTATTTCTTTGTAGAAATATAAATCTAGATTTTTAACTCAGTTCTTTTATAATTCTCATCAGATTGCAGCTCAAATCTGTCGGCAAGCTGGTTTGGTAAAGAAATCCAAAGATGTAGTAGACTACAGTGAAGAAAACTTTGCAATTGTATTTGCTGCTATGGGTGTAAGTATAATTTTTTTCCATTAAAATGAAATGCTTTTGTTATTAGAACAATGCAGAGATAGAGATAGTTGAATCCCTCTAGGTGGAGAAGTTGCTACTCTGACAAGTTGAACAGCCTCAATATTGAATTTGACAGTTGCTTGAAATTGAAGACTTTTACTTTCCATGCCCAAAGTAAGCAGCACTTGTTGACTTTTATGAAAATATATTTTGCATACATGAAGATTTCAAGAATAGGAACGATTCAAATCCATGCCATAACTTTGATCTGACACGAATGTTAAGACATTTTCTTTTCCCGTCACTGATGAAGTCATTGCTATTTAGGTAAACATGGAAACTGCCCGGTTCTTCAAGTCTGACTTTGAAGAAAATGGCTCAATGGACAATGTCTGCCTCTTTTTGAACTTGGCTAATGACCCAACGTAAGTAAATAACACTATTTGTTTTTACCCAAAGTCAGGTTCAAGCATGTTACAATTGTGATTGTTGTTACTTACCATCGAGATAATTCGGCTTCACGGTACCCCTAGTACATAGTAAACACCTGCAGAATTTGTAAGGTTGAAGTCGTTGTAGGAACTGACCCCCAAATCTTTTCTTCCCTCCAGAGAGGCTGATGGCTTGGAGCTGCTAACTTTTCAGTGGCATTTAATTTTTGTACCACAGGGACTGTTTTTACTAAAACCAAACTTGAATCAACCGTTTTAAAACTGAACCCATTCCAGTGCCTACAGATCCTACAGGACACAGTAGAACTGCCTCTTCGGGTCTCCAGCACAATAAGTCCTTATGGCAGTAGACAGGCATCCTTCTCCCCTGGGGTCACTGTGGGTTCACACTACTGACCGACCTGTTGCAGTTAGCAGCCACAAGAGCCTCGTGGTACTTGGGTCACAGTATTATTTTACATACTACGGTTAAATTCACATACACATGCAAAACTCAGTAAGTGACCCTTTCCCTTATGTGAGAACACTGGCCTACACTTACTTTCCCATGTTATCTCTCTCGCTTTCTGTCTCTCATCTTCTTGGTTTTGAGAAACTATATTCTGAGAGATTAAGATATGTGTGAAATAGTCCACATAACTAACATGTAAATAACAGGGTGTTTAAACTGTGCAGAAGGAGACTACTCTTATTTCGAGAAACATTGGTCTTGCTGGCTTGTCATTCCATTTCAGCATTGAGCGAATCATTACTCCTCGCCTGGCTCTAACCACAGCCGAGTTCCTTGCCTACCAATGTGAGAAGCACGTGCTGGTCATCCTCACAGACATGAGTTCATACGCTGAAGCACTTCGAGAGGTAACTTGCTTTTTCTTTACCTCCTCCATTTTTAATACCTGGTGTTATTGAAGGACCTGGGGCGTGTTCTGTTTTGGGGGTTTTTCTCTCAGTTAAACAAAATGGGTCCATTTTCAGGATTATCTTGTCATTTGCAAGTGTTCAATTTTCTTTAAACATGTTTTTTAAACTTCATGATCCGTTCTTTCAACATAGAGCTTAATTTATCAAAAATGAAAATAAGACTTTTATAACTTTCAACTGGTAAAATGATTAGAAGGCAGGGTCTATATTATTAGTGTATCAGAACTGTGATTGTCTCTGTGAATGAAAAACTGATTGTAAAAGGGAATCAATGATATCAGCTATTGATTCACTTCCTTTCCTAAGAAGTTCATCTCTGTCCAGGCTCTCAGTTTGTAACTCTGCTTAGAATTCCAGTTTTAATGGTAATGTACATGTTTAGATGAAGATCATTCTCTGGCAGCACCCTTCAAAACTGTTTTCTACAAAGAAACCAGTGTTTGTTGAAGAACATTTAAGTTTTACCAATTATATACCAAAGGTTTTTGACTAAAACGTGTATAGAATTTTGAATAAGTTCCTCTCCTAAGCATGTAAAAAGGAAAAACACATCTGGAGGCATATGCTATATAGATATATGGCACCTTAAAATTTCCTAAAATTCTTAACATCTCTTTTTTTTTAATATCTCATTGTTTCACACTGCCTTTTCACACTACATATGGGGAAGGACTGGTTTTTTTTTACTCGCATCCACTACAGACCAATACGTTATAAAACACAATTGAAATGAAATCTTATAAAAACAAGAAAAATAACCGTACAGCTTCATTACCTACAGACCCATTATGAGATTTGATAGCTATGAAGTTATTCTGTCAAATTGCCATCGGCGTTGCTAGCTGCTGACCTCGGCGTCCGCCCTGTCAAGTCCACACTGAGAGCAGTTAGCTGCAGAGCACATGCACCCTTAACTGCTGCACTTAATGAGGTTAATTAATATGTATACCCATAGGCTACCAAGCATATTTCTCTTTTTTTAACATTTTATTAGGGGCTCATACAACTGTTATCCCAATCCATACACATATCAATTGTGTAAAGCGCATTTGTACATCGTTTCTCAAAACATTTTCTCTCCATTTAAACCCCCAACATTAGGTCCTCATTTTTCCCCTCCCTCCCCGCTCCCCCCTCCCGCATGAGCCCTTGATAGTTTATAAATGGGTATTTTGTCATATCTTGCCCTGTCCGACGTCTCCCTTCACCCACTTTTCGGTTGTCTGTCCCCCAGGGAGAAGGTCACACACAGTTCCATGTAATCAGTTCCCTCTTCCCTACCCATTCTCCCTTTACCCTCCCTGTTTTGCCACTCACACCACTGGTCGTATAGGGCTCATCCGTCCTGGATTCCCTCCAAGCATATTTCTTAACGCCATTATGACTCCTTATTCGATACATAGAGCAGACTGCAAGCTTTGTGGTCATGGAAAATCAGTGCACCTAACTCTTGATTGCAGCTAGAAGTTGGGGGTGATGGTAATGTTGCTGGAGGCTTAAATCATTTATGTGAGCACAGCATGTGGTTCTGGGGGTGTATTTCCTTCCCTGTGGCATAAATAACAACGAGCTGCATGGCATGAACGATACCTGGTCAACTAAAGATGTTCTCTCGGTTTTATGACTCTTCTTGTTTTATGAGGTTAGTAAAATGCAAGACTTTTTCTAGCAGAACTGTTTAAAGACCTACATTGTGGCAATACAGTTTTAGCAAAAACATTTGAGTCCCCCATTCTCAGCACTTTTGTTGCAGAATAATTTGAACCTGTGTTTCTAGATGATGTTTCTAAAGCGCAGTCCGCTTGACCCTTCCCGTCCCGGCATGTGATACTTGCTTCCTTGACTTGCCCTCAGGTTTCAGCCGCCAGAGAAGAAGTGCCTGGGCGACGCGGTTTCCCAGGTTACATGTACACAGACTTGGCCACAATCTATGAGCGGGCTGGCCGAGTAGAAGGCAGAAATGGCTCAATCACTCAGATCCCAATTCTCACCATGCCGAATGACGGTAAGGGTTCGTCTTTGGGATGAGCAAATAGCATCATTGTACCAGGAATCCTAGCGGTGCAGTGGTAAGCACTGCCCTGTGGACCAAATCACCAGTCACTGCATGGAGGAAAGATTGCTTCCCTGAAGACTCCAACCTCCAAAACCCTTGGGGGCCATGCTCCTCTGCCCTGCTCGGGGCACTGAGAGTCAGCATTCAGATGGCAACAGGGTAGTCATCTCAGCTTTTTTTTTTTCTTTAACCATAGAGCTTTTTGAGTTGAAATTCTTTTCAGAGCTTTTCCTCCAGGCTTTACCTTAAGTAGTTATTTATGCCTGAATAATAATTTTGTTTAAGCTCTAATTATACTTACCATTTTGTGGATGAAATGCATTTTTCTTTGTAATTTAAATTCTTCATTTTCAGTTATTAGCTATAAGCGAGTGGTTGCTGTTTTGTTTGTAGTAGGGATAATGAAATATATATTTTTTAATTGTCGCTTCCATGTAATGTAAGTGACTAGATCTGGCTGGGGTGTATTTTATGTATGTCTATCAGTAATTTAAGCAGCTTGTGCTGAGTGCAGATGAAGAGCAGCGACAGGAAATGCCATCTGAACAGCGCCTCTGAGAGTGTAGTCAGAGGCGAAGACAAGATAGCAGCCCTGTGTTGCCGCTCTTTGGTCTCATCTCACTTTTATATTTGTTTAAAGATGGGATGAACTGTAACAGTTTTAAGTGCTTTGTAAATGTAGACTCATTTGATCCTTATAGAAACAAAGTAGGTGCTGTACTCACAGGGAGATAAAATAATTTGCCTAGGTTAAGAATAGTCTGAATTCAACCTTCACACCATATCGCACAAATTGCCTCCTGGCACAAAAATGGTATGTTCCTAGGAGCGAACCTCCTCTATCGTTTAACAGATTCAGAGATGTGTTGCTTTGTTTGACCTCTTCCCTGCTGCGCTTTGCGTGTTGAATGGTGCTTTTCTGTCTGATACAGCTCACTGTTGGCTCAGTAATGTTCTTGGTATCTGTATCAAGTTGGAAAATGCCAGCAAGGGAACTTGATGTATAGAATTGGAACTAACTTGATGTTGGCCAGAGAAATCGTACTGTTTCTGAACGTGGCGAACAGACCTCTCGGCGCCAGCACATAGGTCTGACAGTGTGCTGCCCCTTAACAGTGTCTCATGTGGTAGCTCTGGCCACATGGGGCTATTTAAATAGTGGTTGACAATTTGAAGCCCTGTCTTCCAGTTGCAGAAGACATATTTCAAGCACTCAACAGGCATGTGGCTACTGCCTACCAGATTTGACCAGCCTAGATACCTGCTTTGACCATCACAGGCAGATCTTCTGGGCAGCCCTGCACTGGTGCTGCTGCTGCAGAGCGTGCAGATGAACGTTCAAGGGGTTTAATTAGAGCCCAGGGCCTCTTCAGCTGAAGCTCAGAAACACCATGTCTAATATCAGCTGTCTTCTCTGGTAGATATCACTCACCCCATCCCTGACTTGACTGGATATATTACGGAGGGGCAGATTTACGTGGACAGACAGCTGCATAACAGACAGGTATTTGACTTGTGAACAATCCTGTGAAACTTATAAGTCTCAAGTTTTATTCTTTTGTATCTTTCACTTTTGCTCTTAGGAATCATTTGTTGAGAAAAGATCAACTTGAATAATTATCATTTGGTTATAGAATTGTCATTTCAGTATGCTAAGATTATGATGTGTATAAGAGTGCCCAGATTAAGTAGTACATTTTTATTTCCTTCTCATTTTTGTGTCCCAAAAAAGAAATCAGTTATCTCAAAAACTTTTGGGGGTATTTTATTATCATAATGGTATAATGTCCCAGTCTGGTTATTAATTTTAAAACAAGTTCAATAAACATTTTTGATGGAACAAAAATCAGTTTTTAGGCTGAAGCCTTTTGAACCGTATCATTTTGTGTGTGGTTTTATAAATCGAACCAGAATACTCTTTAGTTATGAGAATATGATAATGCAAGACTTGTTGAAAATTGATAGACTTTTCAGTGTAGTCTTATACTACTGTAGAATTTGACATTCAAAAGAACTTTTCTCCCATTTTATCCAAGATTTACCCACCTATTAATGTGCTCCCCTCATTGTCACGGTTAATGAAGTCTGCTATTGGAGAAGGTATGACCAGGAAGGATCATGCTGACGTGTCTAACCAGCTGGTACGTATCCTTCTAAGTGTGGTCTTCAGAAGAAGTCTGGTCTTTCTGTTGTTTACCACTTCTTAGCATCCTCCCACAGCATTCCCCGCCCCGTGCCCTGCGCCACCCCCACAAGGAGTGTGATTATATATGTTCGGCCTTGGTGGAATTAATTTAAGCTTGATGTAGGATATAATTCATGAGAACCCAATTAGTCTTTTTCTCCTAAGGGTAATACTAAGTAAGATTTAAAAGTATGTGCTTGAAACCCACAGGTAAAGCTCTATAAATTCAAAGACATTTGGGAAAAAAACAAAACCATTTACTAGTAATTTTAAAAATAATTATATAAAGATACGCTCCATATTTCTTGCTCATCACATTAAGCAATCACCAGAACAGTAAAGTATACAATATACTCTGTAAGCCTCTGCTTATGTAGTCGTGTTAGCATGGACCTCAGCCACAAATAGAGCCGAGAGTCCTGGTGGATTTTCCCGGGCTTCTGATCTCAAGTGGTCTGGAACGTGAAAAGGCCCCGTGGAATGTAAACTCGTTTTGGGTGGTGACACAGTGAAGAAATGTGCTTTTACGTGCAGTGTTGTGACATCTGCTCTTCCCCAAGGCTCCCTTCTTAGTGACTCTCTCTATACTTGTACTGTATGTGAACCATCTTTATATAAACTACATTTACAAATGACCCGTGAGAGTTCTTAGATCACCTTAGCGATGGTAGCTACAGCAACACACTTTTATACCTTAGACTGCTGCCAGCATTGATAAAGTCCTCCCTCTGCGTTCATGTGAGCCCTTTTTCTCTTCAGTACGCCTGCTATGCCATTGGGAAGGACGTACAAGCCATGAAAGCCGTCGTTGGAGAAGAAGCCCTTACCTCAGACGATCTTCTTTACTTGGAATTTCTGCAAAAGTTTGAGAGGAACTTTATTGCTCAGGGTAAGATGGCTCGTCTTCTTATGAACGTGACAACTTACTGCTGTTGAGTCAGTTACGACTCACAGTGGCCCTTATAACTACTGTTGGGAATTTCCAAGGCAGGGAATCTCCGGGAGCAGAAAGCCTCGTCTTTTTTCTGCAGACTTGGTGGTTAAAAGCCCCACACGTAACCCACTATGCCACCCGGGCTCCTTTATGAACGTAAACAGCCACGGATGTAATTTTGAGGATTTCTTCTCCAATCTGAGGTCATTTACAGTGAGCTCTACTCAGTTCGCCTTTTTGTTAAAGAAGTTCTTCCAGCATTCTCCTGGATCATGTTCTTTCTGGTTAGAGACCAAGCTAGCTTCATAGTTCTGCATATGATATGTAATGTTGAAAACTTCTGTAGAATTTTCTTTCCCCCCCCCCACCACCCCAGTGAAGGATTAGTTGACAATTGATACTCTGGCATTGTCATAGAGGGAATCCACGAGGCTGGTGGAGAGTATGTTCCTAGAGTTCAAGGTGCTGGGCCTTAGATCTCCGTTACATGCAGAGTGTAGTCCCCCTCAGAGTTGTCAGACAGGGACAGCTTCGGCCTCCCCTGGAAATGATGGATGGAGAACTAGCAACAAGAAGTCACTGAAGGTCACACAGCAGAAGGTAGAGCTGAGACAATGCCAGTCATCTTTTCAAGACATCTGACAATAAACAAAATAAAATGGTAAGAAGGTAGATAAACCCCCTGATAAGCAAGTGAAGGTTTTCCCAAAACATGTAAGACAGAGGGAAGAGACCCAACAAGAACATCACCAAGTGCAGCATGTGGGAATTTCAAAATCCCACTCTGCCCTCAACTCTGAGGCAATAACAAATCCCTACTCTTTACTTCTCTGTTCAGTTCTTAACTCAGATGTCATGAACTCCGGTCTCCCAGAATGAGATCAGACATGTTCCTCAGACTGCCAAATGGGCAGATGATAGATAGAGGTGTGGGGGTCCACGTGACACTCGTGGCTTCTGATCTGTCCTCACTTCAGAGCATCCCCCTTACCCCCTCGGGATACCAGTTGCAAGCTCACAGATTCTCCCTGCACTCCCTCCTGCTGGCCCCACTACGTTAGAATGGATACTTCAGTGGATCAACTCCCAGAACTCAGACATCATGCTATACTTACGATTATAATGTTATTATAGCAAAAAGGGACACAAAGAGGCCCAGGATGCAGTCTGGAAAGGTCTCTGAAACAGCTCTCATGTCCCCCTGGGCATGTGACCTCTCTCATGCAGGAATGCCTATCACCAACCAGGAACCCGTAGTACGTCGTGTCTTCAGCCTCCTGGCTTCCTTGTGTAGTCCTCATAGAGGCTTGTGCGCAGCCTCCTGCTCGCCTCTCCCGGGGTCAGCTGACAGCAAGCTGCCTGGTGGTCCTTGTGGCCTGAATAGCACCTCTGCTCATTTGCATAAATCCACAGGTGGTGGTCACCCAAAAAACAGTCTCAGTCACGTTTTTCCCGTCAAATAGAACTGCTCTGTGGGGCTTCTGACGCTGTAAGTCATTGTGGAGGCAGGCCACCTCGTCTTTCTCCACAGAGCAAGGCAGCATTTTGGTTAGAGACCAACACGCCACCCGCTGCAGCCACAAAGGCCGTGCAATGACAGTCCCAAGAGATGGAGACATCTCAGAGATGGAGTCATGTCAAGGAGGCCTGGTGGCAGCGAAGTTGAACTCAGCTGTGGAGCAGTAGGGTGGTGCTGGGAGCCTGTCCCGCACCTGTCTCGGAGAAAGACTTGATGGTCCACTTCCACAGAGATGACGGCCAAGAAGACCCTCCGAGCCAGTTGGACTCTCACAGGGTCAGGTCAAGGTGTGTTGGAATTGACTGAACAGAGTGTCCCAAGTTATCACTCAGTAAATGGGCAAAGATTAAATTACTTTGGGTAAAGTTTGATTCTCCGTCCTACAACCAGCAGTGTGGGTGGCTCACATGAAAGATTTGTTTAGTGGAATGAGAATCGTTCTGCAATTAACAAAATAATGACATCTTTGAAAACCATCTACCTTTTCACATACTCAGGTGTTCCAGCCACAGTCACCCTTTCCGAGCACCTGTCTATAGTGGTATCCCTCACTCAGATTCAGCCTTTCCTCCACTCTGAGCCCTCGGTTCCAGAGACTGCTGCTCGCACTGATCTCTGCATCAGCGTGCACACTGGGCCCAGACTTTGCTCATGTATGAGATGGGCCTCTGAAGTGTGTGGAGTGTTTCTTACAAACTTTTGACGCCCCGTACATAGTTCCCATTGCTCAGGTTCTTAAGTCCTACCCAGTTTTCAAAGCCGGCTCAAGTCCCTCTCTCTCCGACTCCACACCCTCCCTGACCCTGTGCCGCTCCCTTTTCTCCCCGTTCCTCTGATACTTACTGCCCGCACCACTCATTTCCACAGTCAGTCATGTCTCCTCCTGGGAAAACTCCATTTTACATCGGGTGCAGGTGGGGGGAGGGGCTTCAATATGTTTGGAGACGAAAGTCTGTGGAAAGATTAAAAGACAGTAGAATTACATGCCTTTGCAGGAGTAAAGTTAGCTTGCTGACACCTCAAAAAAAGAAAGTGGACTTTTTCTACCCACTGTTAAAGCCCTCTCCTCCTCACCGTGCTCGAGAGCTAACAGAACAGACACCGAGTAACACGTTGTTAGGTGCGGTCAAGTTGTTCCGACTCACAGCAACACGTGTGCAACAGAGGAAACACTGCCCGTCCGGCACCACATCCTTCCTCACAGTTGTAAGCTTTGAATCCACTCGACCTCATTGAGGGTCTTCCTCTTTTTCTTTGCCCCTTGCCTTTACCAGTCATGAGATCCCATTCCAGAGCTGGTGTCTCCTGACAACACGTCTCAAGTACACGAGGTGCAGCATTGCCTTCTGGCGTCTCAGGAGCATTCTGGCTGTACTTCCAAGGCGGGCCTGTGTCCCGTAGGCCGGCCACAGTTCTTTCTGTATTCTGTACCAGCACCGTCATCCCAGTGCACCAGGCTTCCGTTCAGTGTCCAAGCACACTAATGCGGAGGGAATGGTTTGCTTCTACTCATTCCGTCTCAATTGTTTTTAAGGTCCTTATGAAAACCGTACTGTCTATGAAACTTTGGACATTGGCTGGCAACTGCTCCGAATCTTCCCCAAAGAAATGCTGAAGAGAATCCCTCAGAGCACCCTGAGCGAGTTCTACCCGCGAGACTCGGCAAAGCATTAGCCGCTGCTTCACCACTGGCTCTGTGTGCTTGTGAAATACCGGTGGTTCTGTTTTCTTTGTTCCTTTTGCACTCCCTCATCCCCACCTCTTTGTTGGAGTTTATCGTGTTACCCTGTAATTAAAAACAAAGAATAGGTACCATATTGTGCCAGTGTTCCAATGTGTTAAACTGGTAACAGACGTTAAAATATCCCCTATTCAGAAAGCCTGGGTTTCAGTGCTTTGTTTAAAATAACTGCAAGGCCGGAGGTAAAGTTTATCAATGTGCTTATTTATATAGAGAGATGCAGTTATTCGCCTAATAATCTCCTCGACCTGGCCTCAGCCTGCTCAAGAGCATCCCTGTCTGGCATCACAATGCCTTGGCCTCCAGATAGGGCCAGGGTCAGGGCCGAAAGGATCCTCTTTCAGGAAGAGCTTCCAGGCTCTTCCCTGAGCGATTGCTCTGGATTGTGGTGGCCGCTCCTGGTCTGTGCTGCTGCTCTAAGGTGGCTACGGTCCACATGCTCCCTCCTTAATGAAGCATGAGCGAAGCAAGCTTTGTTCTTTTGATTTCAGTGTGTGTCAAGCTGGGGCTCTTGTGGCTGACACGTGGCCCTCTCAGGAACACAGAATCACACAGCCTTTGCACAGCTGGCATGTCAGGTGGGAGATGGCTCGTGTGGTGAGCCTGATGACTTTCCATGCAGAAGAATCACAATTAAAACCACGTATGGAACTGGTGTCTTGGAAGAGTTGGGGTGGAATAAAAAGAAAGCGAGACATAGTCCCATTCCATGTTCTGACTCGCTAACCGTGGTCGAAGTGTCTGAAATGTTCATCTGATGCAGAAAGCCAAGTGGGAGGAGAAAGGTGACTGCACTTAATGGATATTTTAAACTCTGTTAGAGAACAGCCTTTGGACATTCCCCCTCTCTATTCCTGCTTTCTGGCCTTTTCAGGGTAACCTTGTGACCCAAGTGATAGCATTTAAAATCTGTAGACATGTAATTCCTGCTCCTCCCTCCTGTCAGCCTGAAGCGGTCTTCTGTGCAGCTCTGCCTTGTCTACTGTGTGTTCTCTGGTACTTGGGTGCAATACAACTTCTCTACTCTGCATTCCGTCTTCTAAGTTGTGTACGTTCTTCACTTTTGCTCTGAGGGGGTGGGGGGGTCAGCATGGTTATATTTTAATGTAGAAAATGTGACATCTGGATACAAAATGAAAATAAATGTTAAATTAAATGGAAGTTACCTAAAGTGATTGTTGTATCTTCTAATCAGAAAAACACTTGACAAGCATATATACTACATAAGAATGCATCTTGACAGTTTTGAGCATCCTCACCAGGATTGCGAACCCCATTGTTAAGGGGCCAGGTCCCTGTTCCCCTCCCAGCTCTAGCGGCCACTCACACCAAGCTGGAGCTTGATCCCAGGTTGAGAGTTACCGACTGCAGCTGCTCCAGGGCTGGCTTTGGTTCACATTTTCAGGGATCTCTAGAATCATCCTGCCATGAAAGAAAGAGGAGAGTCGATAAGAAATAACTCTTAGAGAAGTGGTTTAAAGCAAGTTACTGTGTCTTTCAGATCTGCACTAGTTGTCCAGTAAGTCAAACTAGCAAGCCTGTTCAAAGCACAGCAGGGGACAGTAGGGTCAGGAGGCCCCTGTTTCCCTCCAGTCTCCAATCCAAGGCAGTTTTAAGACCCAGTCACAGCAAGAACTAAGCAGACTGAGTTCTGATTCTGGCTCTGCTATTAACCGACAGGGTCTTGTGAACCCATTTTACAAATTTGAGTCGGTTGACTTAAACGTTCCCTTTAAGGTTATTATGAAGGTGAGAACAGGCTCTGCCCTTAGCAGGCCTTCACGGAGTCGTGGCAGCGGCGGTATAGTTACACACTCACCTGCAAACAGAAGCCAGCAGTGTGAGCCCACCAGCTGCTCGCGCCATGGGGAAAAGATGTCGCAGTCTGCTCCTTAAAGATGACAGCCTTGGGACAGTTCTCTGTCCGATAGGGTTCCTGTGAGTTCAAATGAACTCAGAGGCTATGACTTGGTTTGGTTTTATTAACAAACTTTTATTAAGACAGATTTCGCTCTCATTACTCATACAGAATGGTTGGAGGTTTGCTTAAGCACTTGTTAGTTTGCATGTTAGGCATTCATACTTGTTAACCTGTTAGCGAAATCATACGTATCAAGAAAGCCTGTTTGCGCTAGTTGTAGGCCTCATTACTGGCGCTTGCCTTGGACTCGCTATAATCGAATCTATAAAGAAAAAAATGTTCCCTCTGGTTGACTTGGAGTGCTTGGGGGGAGGGAAAGATCTAGAAAGGTCAAGCTAAGTGACTCAGACAGTTATTGCTTGCAGTTGACTGTGACTTCAGTCTGAGATTGCATGTCAGTGAAAAATGTTTTCAGAATAAGGTAGTAAATCTCTCAGTAAGATGTTTTATTTTTAGCAAGGGTAGGTAGTGCAAGATGCCTAAGGCCAGCACCGCATTTCTGGATCAGTTGAAACGTATTGGTACACTGGGAAATGAATGTTAGCTTCATCCAATATCAGCAACCAAGAGAAAATACGTTGTTGCCCAAATTACAACTAAGAATGCTGTTTCGAGGCTATCACAAAAAGATTGAGTAAGGCAGTTCATAAGGAAAATTCCTTTGGTGAGGAATGTTAGGTACAAGTTTTTACATGACTCAGGCACCTAACAGCACCACATGATACATGCAGCGGTCACTCCTTGAATTGAAATTGGGCCCACTGATTCTGGTCTCTCTCCAGAACCTGAGGCACCATAAAGCCCTGGTGCCTGCTTTACAGACGGTGCTGTTGTAAATTGAAAGGAATGGCTCTGATGGGCTGGATTCTAACATGGGGGCTCTCACCAGAAAGTGAAGTTTGGGAGGGGTGAGGAGGGATGTAGCCAGATCACACTGCTGCCGCCAAATGCATCTCCTGTTCTGAGCTGTTACACTCTTCATTTCCACAAGAGGGCGACAGCTCACTGGCCGTACCTGTGGGATGCAGAAACAGGACACCCACTGGCTGCTATGGTAAAGAAACCAAAGGTTCACTTAATCAAATGGTACATTTTTTTGAGCTGCACCCATTAGGCTAGAGCAGCAGTTCTCAACCTGTGGGTGTCAACCCCTTTGGGGGTCAATGACCCTTTCACAGGAGTTACCCAATTCATAACAGCAAAATTAGTTACGAAGTAGGAATGAACAATTTTATGGTTGGGGGTTCACCACAACGTGAACTGTATTAAAGGGTCACGGCATTAGGAAGGTTGAGAACCACTGAGCTAGAGGGTGACAGAGTACATACCCACTGCCATCCAGTCAATTCCAACTCACGACAGACTAGACCTGGCCCATGGGGTTTCCGAAGCTGTACATTTTTCTTCCTTTTTTAATAGCAGCTTTGTTGTCCACGACTGGAAGCAACTAAGGTGTCCCACAACAAGTGAACAGATACGCGTGGCACATCCATACACATGGAATACGAATCTGTCATTGTGTTAGTCTGGGTGGACTAGAGAAACAAATTCATAGACACTCGTGTATAAGAAAAAGTTCTATATACAAGAGCAATTGAACACTGAGAAAACAGCCCAGCCCAGTCCAGATCAAGTCCTTAAGTCCAATACTAGCCCATATGTCCGATACCAGTCTATAAAGTCCTCTTCAGACTCAGGAAACACATGCAATGACGCCGAATGCAGGACGATCACAGGCCAACGGGTAGGAAGTCTTTGGATACAGTGGCGTTGTAGCATCTCAGCGCTGGCAGGGGTCTCTATGTGGCTTCTCCAGCTCCAGAGGTCTGGTTGCATCAGGGTAGGTCCATGTGGCTTCTCCAGCTCCCAGGGTGTAATGTCATGTGTCTCGTTAGCTGCTATTCTCCCAGGGTGTGAGCAGAGAGGTGTCTTCCGCCTCCACAGAGGAAAATACAGGAGAATTCTCAGAAGGCTATACCCACACAGAGGCCTCATTGACACCAGTTTATGTAACCACCACAGTAATTAAATTTAATATCTCACAACTAAGAGATCTGGAGAAACCTTAACACTGCTAAATGAAAGACAGCATTCATTCAGAAAAAGTTACACGCTATGATTCTAGTTTTGTGATGTGCTAAAAAAGGCAAGGGGTTTGGGGAATGAAGATAAATAGATGAGACGAAAACATTTTTCCCACCAGTTTTACTGGCATATAATTCATCTACAATTCAATAGTTCAGTCACATCCAGAAGGTGGTACGGTCATCATCACAATCAGTCGTAGAACAACTCTTTCAGTCTTGTACTCACCATTATTAGTTCCCTATCCCCTCCCCCGCCCCCATCCTCCCCTGCCATACCTCCAAGGGACTATTAATCCAGTTATTGTCTATAGATTTCTCCTGGATTTCACATACAGAAAAGGACTAACAAAAAATTTAACTTAATCAGATAGATAAACCTCAATTGGAAAGAAAGTATTAAAAATGGCATTCCATGATGCACACCTTCCCAACACGATCGCTGAAGACTAATGTATGCATAAGCAAATGTGAAGAAAGCTGATGGTGCCCAGCTATCAAAAGATATAGCATCTGTGGTCTTAAAGGCTTGCAGATAAACAAGCAGCCATCTAGTTCAGAAGCAACAAAGCCCACATGGAAGAAGCCTGTGTGACCACAAGGTTGCGAAGGGACCGGGTATCAGGCATCAAAGAACAAAAAAGTATTGTGAATGAGGGGGAGTGCAGAGTGGAGACCCAAAGCCCATCTGTAGGTAACAGGACACCCCCTTACAGAAGGGTCGTGGAGGGGAGACAAGCCAGTCAGCGTGCAGTGTAGCAACGATGAAACATACAACTTTCCTCTAATTCTTAAATGCTTCCTCCCCCCGACTATCATGATCCCAATTCTACCTTAAATCCGGCTAAACCAGAGGATGTACACTGGTACAGATAGGAACTGGAAAGACAGGGAATCCAGGACAGATGATCCAATCAGGACCAATGGTGAGAGTGGTGATACAGGAGGGTGGAGGGAAGGTGGGGTGGAAAGGGGGAACAGATTATAAAGATCTACATATAACCTCCTCTCTGGGGGACGGACAACAGAAAAGTGGGTGAAGGGAGACGTCCGACAGTGTAAGACATGACAAAATAATAATAATTTATAAATTATCAAGGGTTCATAAGGGAAGGGGCAGCGGGGAGGGAGGGGGGAAAATGAGCTGATACCAAGGGCTTAAGTGGAGAGCAAATACTGTGAGAATGATGAGGGCAATGAATGTACAAATGTGCTTCACACAATTGATGTATGTAGGGAGTATGATAAGAGTTGTATGAGTCCCCAATAAAATAATTTTAAAAAACAGAATAAATTTAAATGGATCATAAGGAAGATCAAATGATAGGGTACCAAATTTCAACCTAACGGCAACAATCCACTTTCTAATGCACTGTGCATGTTAGCAAGGATATTCACATGCCTGGTCCATGGTCACCCTTTCCCTTGTTTTGGGTTTTTTTGTAACAGCTGTGCACCCATCCTGACATTTAAAACTTAAGAACATTTCACTGCCCCAAAGAGAAAGCTCACACCCATTAACTGTCACCCCCATTTCTCCTACCTCCTCCAGCATCCACTAGTCTGCTTTCTGCCTGTGGATGTGTCTGTTACAGGTGCGGTGTATAAGTGCAATCAGACCACACCTGGTCCTTTGTGTCTGCTGCTTTCATGGGGCGTAATTTCAAGGTCTGTCCATGTTCAGAACTGCATCTCTCTTCATTGCAAAGCAATGTATTTGGATTGCAACCATATTTGACTTCTATGAAGAATGCTGCTGTGAGCATTCACCTACGAGGGGACTTCAAAGAGCTCCTCCCCTCTCCCTTTCCCCTTACCCTGAGATCTCATCCAGTACAGCTGGGAGTTCTCACTCACATGTCTGTCTTTACATGCACATGGGACATGCACACGGGAGAAGAATTGCCGGATCATATGAGTCAGAAGTGGCTCAGTGTCAGCATTTGGGGGGTTTTATTTGTTTTTAATGGTAACTCTGGGAGCCCTGGTGGCAGTGGTTAAAGAGTTTGGTTTGGAAACCACCAGCAGCTCCGTGGATAGAGATGCGGCTGACTGGTTCCATAGAGATTGACAATCACGATAAATAATTTATCAAGGGGTCACCAGGGTTGGGGATGGAGGGGAAAAAGAGGTGTGGATAAAAAGGGCTCAATAAAAAGT